GACGTGCGGCAGAAGAAACCTGCGCTATGCTGGAGGAGTGCCCTGCCAAGAGGGGTAATTGGGAGATCTGGGACAGTGAATGGACCTTGTTCCGCATCAAGGCACGAGCCAAATTGGAACAGCTTCGACGATTTGCAGAAGGAAAAAATGCAATGGCTATCGACGTCGACCCTGCTGAGAGCCATGTCTCGCTTGCTGCAGCGGCTCGAAAGGCTGAGAGTCAAGTGCCTTGGGACATCTACGAAAACCTCAACGTCGTATTCGAAATTGCCCTGGGCAGCCCAGATGTGATGCTTGAGACGGCCCAAGATTGGGTGGAGGCCACCATTGGCTTGTTCGGTTGGTGGGACGAGACCAATGCGTACAACACTGCCGAATCATCCGCATTCCAAGCCTTGGCTCTGTCTTCACGGAATAATGGGGCTGATGGCTACATGGAGCGTCTTGCCCGCTGTCTGCAGACGGCCGTTGGACCTACCGCGTTTCATTTCAATGCTCTGAACCCAGTGGAGGTGGGAATGGCCTGCGTCTTCGAGGACAACGCGAAGGCTGTGATTGCTATTTTGCGGACGTGGTCATTGCCAGTAGCTGCTGCCGTGGCGGAGATAGCATCTCTGGGCCGTTGGCTGCCTCAACACCAACCATCCGCCCTTTACGCTTTTGATGACCTCGATGCAGATGATCTCGAAGTCCTGGGTATAAATCCAGAGGATCCTGATGAGGCAGACGGTATCAAGGATAATACCTTGATTCAGTACGCGCAAGAGCTTACCAATTACAAAGACATGTCTTCGATACAAGATGCTTCTGATTCGACTCCAGACGGATGGGAGGTTGCCATACATGTTCTCGGTCGCATGGACTCGCCAAAACGATCGGAAGAGACTGTGGGTGAATTGGTGCAGACCATACTGCAGGAAGTTGAAGCGGACTCGAGTGAGATGGTCGACAAGGTCTGGCGATTGCTGAAGGAACTCGGCATGAAGCAATTTGCCGAGCAAGTTGCAGACGTAAGTTTGGTCACAGTGTTACAGGATATCGTAGAACAAGAAAAGGCTAACAAATACGATAGCACTTTGGCGATATGCTAAGGGAAAACAGCGACCGCTTTGGCGAAGCCATGTGGTACTATGCCCTGGCCCACCGCACCGGCAAGGTACGAGACGTGATGCAATTCCTCATTGGAATGTGTCTATTCCAGTCTGCAGCCTATCCAGCCACCATCGAGCTCGACGGCCACCTAAGGAACTTATTGAAGGAGCGCAACACAACTCTAGAGCAACTCGCCAACGAGGACCTGGAGGCTGCGGAAGTGCTGGGCAAGATGCTGGCCGGCTACGCAACCCTGCGCAAGTTCTATGAGATTCGAGACAATGAATCTCTGCCATTGGCTCGACGACAACAGTCAGCCGCTGGCGCGTTGACTCTCGTCATTGCATCTTCTGACGACAATATCCGCGGTGGCCTCTACGATGCGTCTCGGGACGTCATCGTGGGTGAGGAATTTCTCCTGGCCTTGCTTGGCGAGGTCCTGGTGTTTGTCAATCAGAGACCGCCTGTTGCCGGTACGGCTCCTCTGCTCGGCCTGGAGCAGGTTGACATTCTTCTAAAGGCCGTGGAGGATATACAATCCGTTGGAGGGAGTGTCTACAAGGCAAGCAACGACTTTTTCCAACTTGTCCTGGCTTCTGCACCGGCGTTGCTGAAGGGCTCCACCCCTGCCGATCTGTTAAAGAAAACCGCATCTGGCTCCGTGGGCATTTCGGATACATCTATGCTGGCGTCTCAGCTGCACCGATCAGTGCTGGGGGGCGCGATCCCGGAATCAGAATCTAGTCCGATGGCAGCCAAGGCAAATTCAAAGAGAGGCTGGGATTGGAGAACCGGTTTGGATTATTCTACCACGGCGGAGGATGTGTTGCGGATTTTGCGTTTGGGGTTGACGAAGGAGCTTGCCAAGCTGTGGTTACTGGAGGCAGATGGTGGAATGATTTAGGGAGTCTCGGTCAATCGTTTCTCTAATCCGTTCTGGTGGTGTTACTAAGTTGATGCCTAGGCTTGTGGTAATATGCAGGCAGGCAAGTAGGAATGGATATAACATAATGCACCCCAATTTGGGTGTGAGAAGTCATTGATGATACCTTGTAATGACATCTCTTGGGCCTTTTCCCATTCGTGTTGATCAATGGACTGAGAATAGAAGCGGGAGCTGATTGTTTGAGATCTCGCTTTTCTGACCTAATCGTGCATCAACATGCCTCGTTCATTTGAGCGCTCACAAGAATTATTTCCATTTTCCACCAAGACACCACTGCAGAGTTTTCCTCCCCAAAAAAAGTCTCCTTCCATATTTTCCAATTTACGACAACCTCATCGTCATACACAATCACAATGCCCGCGCCCAGTGTACTCCCAGAATTTGTCTACAAAATTGTAGACTCGGCGCCTCCGTCCCCACTACCGCGGGTTTTCCCGCCGTCGGACCTCGACAAGCAGGATGGCTTCATCCACTTGAGCACCGGTCGCCAGGTCTGTTCTATTCTTCCAGCAATCCAGTCTCCATGCCAAACCAAACGCGCTTATACACAGTTTCAATAGCACTTCCCTTTTGCTTCGTTTTTTCTTTCATGCTTCCTTTGCTTCCCCTCGAATTGCAAAAAGTGGATGGTCAAGCTCGTCATACTTACCTTTTCTTTGCTATTCTGTGCTTCTCTGGCTACTAGGTCCCCATCACAGCAGGCCTCTTCTTCGCCTCGCACACTACTCTCTGGCTCATCAAGATTCGTCTTGCGGCGCTCACTGCTGAGCCCGCGACGGGCAACATGGTCAAGTGGGATGACCCGCCCAACGACAACGATGGCTGCCCGCACCTGTACGGCAACTTTGGCGCAGTGGAGGTCGACTCTGTGCAGGAATTTGAGCGAAAGACTGGTTGCTCTGCGGGTGGCTATGGACAGGATGAGGAGTGGAAGGATGTTTTCGCTGCATCAAAGTGGCTGGAGTAAAGAGTGCAAGGTAGTGAGAACTCATGTTTGTTGGACGCCATATACGCTCAGGCTCTACCGGATGAATTGGTAGGGCTGATTGGTGATGATGTGTTTCACAAGGCATACTGGCTGGCAAGTCCTATGTCGTCTCCATGCTACTAGGAAGATATCAATGATTAGGCAACCCGAAATCTGATATCTCGCATGTTATCGGTTCCGTGTAATCACCCAGCTACCACGAGCTACTCTGCTTGCATGTCAAAGCACAGAGTCCCAGCATTCGACGCGCACCAGCCGAATAAAGATCTCAATACCTTTAATTACACCCAGAACGGCACAATTTGGCTGCATCTCCCCATGGAAGCAGGCGACTTGATCACACAAATCTAGAAGCGAAAATATGGGACTGCGGCGCCGCTCTTTTGGACGAAGCGAGGCCATTGTTTCTTCTTTGGACCACGGGCCCTCCACTGGACCAGCACTTGGGGATTTTATGGACGAGCCGACTGCGCACCCATCTTCAATACTTTGCGACGATGAATGGATGGCAACAACTGGTCTTTCAGACGCCAAAACCTGTAGACAGCGATCACCGCTGCGCTCCCACTCTTGTCGAGCCCATGTGACCTCCTCTAGGTCTTGAGCCTCTCGAGGCGTTTTTCTTTTCTTCAGCTGCTCTAGACAATGTCGTCCAAGTCTCTCTTTATAAACTGCCCAAGTAGAGCAGAATCACGAGCCTTTTGTTTCGATACGCTGAAGGCCAAGAAGCGTGCTTTAGTCCGGTTTGGTTGGACTGGCTACAGCAGGCCCCTTGATTCCCGAGACCATCAACAAGGTTGCGGTTTCACTTTGCATTGATTGAGATTCTGCAGTGTCGGCCTACGGACACATTAGTGTCATCGACGTCGGCATCAACATTCTTCCTGCTTTGAGGTCTTTATGCATGGCGAGCCTGAATGGTGGATTTCAAAGCACAAGACGAAAATTTACCCCGAAGGACGAGCAAGCTCAGATTGGTCGTGGTATTCGGAAACGACTTGAGAAGCTTTGCAGAAACCGGATTCTGGCAGTGGGATGATGCTCATCCAAAATGTTCCAGATTGGGAGTAACGACAAACCTAGTACTAGAAGCTTCACAATTCCGTATTGTCGGACAAAACACATTAATCACAGGGCCCAGGCCATCTTTCATGCCATACAATAAGCCTCGAACATGATGGAAAATGAATCAAAAAGGTACAGCATATGAATTAGACAAAAGGTTATAATCTGATCCGTGCAGGGATCGAACCTGCAATCTCCTGATTCGTAGTCAGACGCCTTGCCATTGGGCCAACGGACC